AAAATGCTCCCCGGTAAATTTTACGTCGATAAGTTTGGCGGTCATGTCTTAGCTTTAATGGTTTGAAGCCCCAGGTCTCAATAAGGTTAGTGATTAGACGAAGATTTGTGAGCCTTTTTTATGATATTTGGATATAAATAAGAAATTAGTGACATCCTAATCCTCTGGACATGTTAAATTCAAACACTGCAAACCCGTCATCAATACATCATCATTGAAAATGGAATATCGTTCATACCATAAACGTCATACCCAGTTGAATGTTTACACGGAGTTAAGGCTCTTTTTGATTTTTGTTTTCTTTTACGCTTGACGTATTTTCTTTACTTCATAAAGCGAATTAATAACTGGTCATAACTTGAGCAACACCTTAAGTAAATTCAGAGTTTATTTCAGTTTTGGATCTTGCAGTGATCTCTGCGTGAACACGGCCGGCCACGCCAAATTTACAACTTACTGGTGAGTTCCTAGACCTTAGTGTTTTGTTACAAGGATTTTTATTTTGTGAAATCAAAACAGGACCCAGTGTTATTTTGTTATCCATGCTATACTTGAACACAGCGCTAATTAATTTGTTGCACATAAGATCTGGGTCATAGAGAAAGAAATATAAAGTATCAGTAGTCAACACAAGCGCCAAGTATCGATGAACAAAAATTGCGTAAGCATGTAGTTATAGTAGACTTACCAAAGCTATTTACCGAATTTCAGAAATGTAACTGCATGTAATTTCGTTGAATTGCCAATTCAACGAAATTACATGCAGTGGCGCTAACTCGAAATATTGTTACCTGATCTTTTAGGACATCACGATTTAACTAATACTCAATTTGCGATGCAGGTGCGGCCCCAACTAGGCGACAGGGGCCGGCCGTAATTTGAGGAACGCCGATTGACTCTGAAGCTTGGTGGTTAGGGTTTTTCTAGGAAACTGATACAGTCAAGTTCCATTTAGGGTCGTCATACAGGATGAACCGCGCGAGCTGGAACTTGATTCAGTGTCGTAACCCTCACCACTTAACTATGGGATCATTCAGCGATCGGCGGCTGGTCGACGGTTCGGTAAAACACCCCTGCGAAGATCATATCACTGAGATGTTAGGATAAGGGGTTGAGGTTAAAGTTGCAGGACCTTAGGTGACATCTGCACATGTGCAAATTTAACCTTTCATTAGCCACTGGAACACGAAACCCTGAGACAAACATAACATCACACTCTCAAGAAAACACTTGTAAATTGAAACCTTTTCACCGTATAAGACTGACAGTATCTAATACAAGTTACCGAAATATAGCCAAAAGATCATTGAAATGGAATACGTGTATTTGCATTAGTTAAGTCACGCATAAGCTGTTTTGAATTAGAATAAAACTGTATTGCACAATAGGACGTGAAAGGCTTCTGACGTCATACTGGTGGGAAAATACGTACAGTGCGGCACTATTTTTTTCTTTGTTGTTGTTGATGCTGTTGTTGTTTTGGTAGCCAGCTGAGTATCAGGCGTTTCTGGGGAAAAGGGGAAAGATGGAAGCGATAAAGGTAGCCTGCGTAGCAAGCGTTTCCAATCGAGTTATTGCGCAAAAGTTAGAGCGGAAGCAAAAAAAGGTTGAAGAGGGAGGGGGAGGGGAGAAAAGAAAACGCTTGCCCGCAAACCCCACGACTCTGGAAAACGCCCCTTGATATTTCACCGTTCGGTTCATTTGTAAATTGACAGCTTGTCAAAATAGGAGCGTAACGAACAGATTACCCCTCGATTACCAGATTTGTAAAACTACTTTGTTCTCTAATAGAACACGTTGCAGGCGATTGCAAGAACTGTAATTAAAAAGATTTACGATAAAAGAAAGTTAAAACTATGAGCGATTGCTGCGGAACTTCTTGTTTTTTTATTGTGTGGCTTTATCTCGTCTGAAACCTTGTCGACACGTCAAAAATGATTTGTCCGGAACAATTCACTCCGCCGGGTATAAGTTTTGCAGAGCGGCTGCTCTTCTAGTCTCCCTCGCAGCCGTTTTTAGTATCGTCAAGCAAGGAGGAGCGTTGCGTGACGATACTAAAAACGGCTGCGAGGGAGACTACTGCTCTTCAGCCTGTGTCGAAAGTTCTCTACAATAGATGCCGCTAAATTTTCAATAAACAAAAAGAATCTTTTCATTTCAAAAAGCTGACAAATCGCTTGTCCATGGCGGTTTTAGCTAGTGTGGAGTACCGATGTTCTGTTTTATGTTGATGTTTATATCTCCAACAAACAGTCCATTTTTTCCAGTCAGATCCGCACGCCGTCATTCTCAATAAATTGGCCTTCCCTAGTCTCCACCGCTCGATCTCCAATTATACTTTGAAGACTCTGATCTCATAAACCTTCGCACAAACACGATTCCAATAAATATCAGTCCAAAGCATTTGTAATCTGCGACCCCAAATCGGATGAGACCAGATCTGTGACGCACGAAAACAAAGCATACCTGGTTTGATTGATGTTTCGAATGCTAAGTAATAAACACTACCCGCACCACGCCAATCAGAAGCTGGGTTCGTGGGCGAACGCAGTTTTTCAAAATCGTGGGGTTTGCGGGCAAGCGGTCCCTTCGTTTCCCTCCCCCTCCCCCGTCATTCATTTTTTTTGCTCTTGTCTCAGCTTTCTAGACGAACCTCGCGAGGAAACGCTTGCTACGCAGGCTACGAAAAAGGGAGAGAGCTGAAGGAGAGAAACGCCTGACACAGAGGCTTTTACTGGAGCCTTCCACCCCCACACAGCACGATTCGATACCATCCAATCAAAATCACTTTCGGTCATTGGGTTTTCAGCTTCACGTTTCAAAAAGCTCGCCTAAAATAAATCTCACTTTATGGTCTGGCCGAGCTCCGGTGCTTGTGTTGCTACGATTTCGCTTTTTTCTGAAACCTCCGATGAGGAGTTTTCGAATACCTGTAATGTAAAACCTGCCGTTTTTGAGGAATTATAACATGTTTTAGGAAATGTGCTAATGTAAGATCGCCAACGCCCTGTTTGTAAATAAACGTGTGCCCGGAAAATTGTAAATTGCTTTTGTTTACAGAGTTACATCAGGCACTTGTCTGGCAGCTGAAAAGCTGATGTTATCCCTCGTATTCTCGGGTGGTTGAAGGAGCTGCAAGAATAAATCATGATAAATAGGAAGGTGCGATGGTGAAACACCTATGCCTAGAAATTATCAAGCAGCAGCAAAAGTATCACATACCGGTAACATAAATCAAAACATCTATGAAAAATTTCAATGGCTTCTCCTTGCCGATCGCTCTTGCGGTCGGTGACGTCAGGGGGTATTGTGTGCCACATCCAGATTTTGGATGTGTCACACGATTTGCTGAATGGTTTTCATGTCAGGCCTTCCTTTCTCTTCTCCCCCTTCCCCCTCCCCCATCTAAAATCTCCTCTCCCCTAGCCCCTTAGGAAGGCCTGATACTCAGGCGATAGTTTTGGGGGGTTACTCAATCACAGACTCACTTGATAAAAAGGCTGATGATAGCTTGAAATCTGGTTCAAATTACCCTGCTCTGCTTGTGAGCAGTGGTTTCTCCAGGCCGGACGCTACGCTACGAAGGGAGAGAAATTACTGCTAGCGACCGTTTGCTTTTCCATCAAGCATGCGCGTCCATGTGACGCCTACGTCAATAGGTCAAATGACTTTACTTCCTCTTGTTTCGCAGGAAACATTAGGGACTTTAACAACTTTGCACGCGCAGTTTTGTTAGTATATTTCTTTGCCGTTTGTGCACAAAAACGACGTGAAAATGCCTTATTGCGCGTTTTAGGGAGAACGTGAACATGCAACGGCCAAATTTTGTTTCTCTTTCTGAACTTGGATACGGACCCTTGGAATGCAACTCCAGCTGGGCTCGCCCACAGATAACAAAGTAAGTGCACAGTAATTCTTAGGAAGTTATTGTAACTCCAAAAATGGAGTAAAAATCTTAGGTACAAGATAACCCCTTTTATGGGGTTACTTTAAATCCTGAAAAAGAGTTCTTTTAACTCCCAGTCTGGAGTTAAAATAACTCCTAAAATGGGGTTATTTTTACTCCTTGCATGGGTTGTTATTACTCTTTTTGGAGTTGCTTTAACTCTGAAGGTGGAGAAAAATTTTAGGTACAGGATAACTCCTTTTTTGGGGTCATTTTTAATTAACTGCTCAATACGTGGGGTGATTTTTACTCCTGAAAAAGAGTTCTTTAAACTCCTTTTTGAAATTAAAATAACTTCCCCCCAAAAATAACTCCGCTGTAAGGAGTTGAATTAACCCCACTAGAGGAATTATTATAACTCCTTGAAAATTACTGTGTGGGAAGGAACAATCGCGATGAAGACTGAAAGAGCGGAAATTCACAGCAGGCCAGGCTCGCGTTAAAGCAGCAGTTATAAGCGTAAGCCTGCAAATATGCCTTAACTTAAAACAGGTTTTACCTGTTCAAAGTTAATTTATTCGCCCATGACGATGGACGATGGCTCGATCAAAGAAGCAAACGGTAGCTCGCAGTGGTTTCTCTCCCTTCGTAGCGTCGTGTCCGGCTTGGAGAAACCGCTGCTCACAGGCAGAGCAGGGTAATTTGAACTAGATATCAACCTTAATTTTCAAGCTATCATCAGCCTTAATGGTTAAAATCGCTTTACGTGCAGCAATACAAATTGCGTTTTCGACTGAGTGGTTCCAAAAGCCAAGCTTTCTCTTTGTATACATAGCACCAGTGACATCAAACTTCTTTCCACGGATCAGGAGGGTATGGTTCGGTCAAATTAACTGAATCGGTAAAATTTGTAGTTCGTCTTGACGTGAGCACAGTCATTATTTGACGGTATGATTCAAACGGGTAAAACTGTCAGATATGACACAGTAACAACAAAACGGAACGTTTGTTCCTGCTTTTTTGTAGCATTCCATTTTTGTTCCACCTTCTAAACATCAAGTATTGTTCTTGAATAGAAAATCATCTCTTAGTAATCGAAGGAGACGGAAATAAAATGGCAGATTCCAACTCTAATAGCATAGTAGCTGAGGGATACAGACAAGCCGCGATTTCCGTGCAAAAGTTGGACAATGAAACTTTTATTCAAACAAATGTCTGCCCCAAAGACGGAGACATCATCTTGGATTTAGGCTGCGGCACAGGAGAACTGTCTTCATACCTCGCTGAGTTGGTAGGACCCGGAGGAAAGGTCATTGGTGTCGATCCTGATAACGAAAGAATTCAGCTGGCCAAAGAGACTCACAAGCAAGTCAAGAATCTCTCGTTTCTTGAGGGAAGTTCTTTAACCTTTCCACGGATTGGCTTGGAGCCCTGCGATATTATTTTCAGTAATTATGCCCTTCATTTTATGAAAAAGAAGCAGCAAGTCTTTAACAACTTGTTCACATGTCTAAAACCTGGAGGGAAAATAGCCTTTCAATGCATCTCCCAACTGCCCCCGTTTGAGCGAAACGCGTATGTGCTGCTGAATCCAGAGAATGCCGATCGTATTTTGGGTATGTATCATTGTGAGGGGAAGACAAAGATCGAGCAGTATTGCTTATCGGCAGGATTTGAAATAACCCGGAGTGTTCAGACTGAATGCGTAGAACTGGTATTTGAATACGTTGAGGAGCTTCTCAAATGGCATTGGTCGACTACACATGGTGTATTTGATCCTTCCCTTGTTACTGAAGAGCGACTACAAAAGTATCTAGCTCCTTACACTGATGAAAACGGAAAGCCCTGTCTTGACTTTCGAGGAATGAAACATGAAATGCCTGTTTGCCAACTCCTAGCCATCAAGAAGGCATCGGAGCGCGCTTGAAGATGTGCTGTTTCTCTTTGGAAAAAGAAACAAAAAAAGCAATAACCGACATCAAAAACTCCCGGGATTCCGGAATCCGAGACATTTGTGCTTGCAAAATCCGGAATCCTGGGCTTTGGAATCTGGAATTGTACATTAGTCTCACTATCTTTCTTCTCATTAGCCTGAATTTCATCCGGTTACTTTGAGTCGTTATTACTCCCTCAGTAACGTCTGAATCGACCGGCCGTAATGCTGTTCGGTGACGTCACTACTCCTTTGCTTTAATTTATGCAAAAAGTAAACCACGATTTTCAAGTGGCAAAGCAAGAAATATCGTTTGGAAATGTCCACATGATACAGAAGAGTTGACAGTAAGAGAATTGCTTTGCTCTTTTCGGTCGTAATTCACGTTTAACGTTCACACTATCAACTGCATGCAGTGCTCTGAACCGGTTGTAACCCAAACTCGGTCGCAATAATGCAATGAAATAAATACACACACGAAACACTTTGTATAAAAACACTGCAATTACCTTTGATTGAAAAGAAGCTATTTGGTCCTTAACGAAGAAAAAAGAAAACAAGGAAACTAGAAAGAAAAGCTAACAGAATCATTACACTTGTCGGTGAAAATAGCAGGAAGGTCGAAATGAAAACATGACACTTGGTCTCAGAAACTTTACATAAATAACAATCTCCAATCACTGCGGAAACCACAAAGCGGCTCCAAATGAAAAACCTACCGACTCTCTGCAATGATTCTTCTTTCTCCGTTCAATTTAGCAATTCAGTTTCGTGGACAAAGGCAATTTTGCCGTTTACGATGAAGATTATCATCAAAACGTTTGAATTCCACGCAAGCATGCGACCGATGCGATCCGCTGAATATCAAGCTACAATCCCGCTAAAATTTCTCATAATTATACATAATTATGCGAATGTTTAGACAATCAACCAATCAGAATCACTATCTGGTTTACAGGTAGTAGTGACGTCACCGGCCGGTCGATTCAGACGTTGCTAAGAGGAGAAAACGACTCGAAGCAATTGGATGAAGTTCAGGCTATTTTCTCATAGGCCGAGAGCCTACAGTTAATTTTGAAAATCAGCGCGACTTACAGATTAGTCACAGATATCTGCTGCTGGCAACTACTGACTAATTTGTAGCCAGGTTGCGCGCAAAGCATGATTTCCAAGCAGCATTGTCAGTCTGTGTTCCGTGGGAAGTTGTGTTAATATAGCAGTTATTTTCTTCCAAAACAATGTGTAATAAAACAAGTATTAGATTCGGTTTTTGTGGTATCTTAAATAATCAAGGTCTAGATAAGTTTTATCGGCCTCGACAAAGATTATTTCGGATATCACAATAACCTCAGTCCAATAATTGTTTATTTTCCGACTTGTACATTAACGTATACTGTACTTTGCAGTTTTCAGATACCGTAAAATTCCGAAAATAAGCCCCGGGGCTTATATTTTTCAAAGGCGCTTTTTGAGGGGCTTATTTTTGGAAGGGCTTATCTACGGAGGGAAATTTGCGTTTCAAAATCGATTGGGCTAGCCTCATAGCTGGGAATAAATCTACCATTTTTGCTTTGTTTTACTATATATTTGAGGGCTATTTTCCAAGTACAAGCCCCCAGGGGGCTTATATTTGGAGGGGCTTATTTTCGGAATTTTACGGTATTTATGTAAATGGTAAGGACGCTCATCTATAGACTACTGCAAAGCTGATTTAAAACGACATGTATTGTTTTTTATAACAATATTTCGGCTGGCCATACCAGCCTTCTTCAGGTTTACAGATGTTACTGAACTTATGTAGCAATCACAATATTATATAGATGGAGAATGTCGAAATAAAAGGGAGAGGCGGAAATGACGTACAACATAAAAACTGGAAGGGAAAAATACTAAGGATATGGATTACAATAATTCGTCACGGCGGTTTAGGCCATGAGGTTCAAGAGTCATGGCCTTATCTATCAAATGCGACTCCCTGGCCTTACAAACTGAGTCACGTGAAGAATGAATTTTCTCTAGTGGGATTAACTGCATGTCAGTATGAGAATGGTTAGAGTGAGAAAGAAAGTATTCAGAAACAGTAGTGGGTTTAGATTTAATGTTAGTTTTGTCGACTGCACGTCTGTGTTCGTTAAATCTGTCCTTGAGACGTCGCTTAGTTTCACCTATATATTGTAAATTACAACGGTTACATTGAACCATGTAGATAACATTTTTAGTGTTACAAGTAATGTGTGAAGTGATGGAGCGTGTTTCACCTGTAGCGAAAAAGGTATAACTTGTTAGGCCGTTAGTAATGTATGGACAAGTGGCACAATTCTGTCCATAGCGGAAGGAGCCCGGCGGAAAATGATTGGTGGAGTTAACGGGTAGTTGTGCTTTAACTAAAAGGTCACGAAGATTAGAGCTACGTCTGTAAGCAACAAAAGGCGGTTGCTTAAAGACGTCTTTGCAACGGTTAGAGGAGTGTAAGATGTTAAAATGTTTGCGTAGGATATTAGAAATGCGTGGAAGTGCTGGGTTATATGTGACAACAAATGGTACAACATCGTTAGAAGCTTTGGGTTTAGTCTGTAACGCGTTAGTACGAGAAATATTAGCAGCGCGTAGGAACTGTTTTTCTAGGAAATTATTATTATAACCACGAGCAAGGAGATATGTTTTAAGTTCATTAATGCGATGTTTAAACTTAGCGTCTGTAGAGCAGATGCGGCGGAGGCGGAGGGCTAAGCTGAACGGAATGGCTTTCTTAGTGTGGTGAGGATGGCATGATGAGCTGAGAAGGTGCTGATGTTTATCCGTGGGTTTAGTAAATAGATCAGTTTCAATTATACCGTTATGTAGAGACACCATGACGTCGAGAAAAGGAACGTTAGTAAGTGAGTGAGAGCTAGTGAACTTAGCAGTGGGATGAATGTTATTGGGATAATCGACGAATATTTTCAAACGATCTGAACCTTCTGTCCAGATCACGAAAATATCATCGATATATCTCCACCATGTGTGAGGCTGCCAAGGGGCGTCTGTGAGAGCGTTGGTTTCGAACATACCAAGAAAAAGGTTAGCAAAAGAAGGAGCCATTTTAGTACCCATAACAGTACCATGGATTTGAAGATAATGCTGTTGGCTAAATGTGAAATTATTCATGGTGAGAATCATGCGTAGGAGATCACAAGGTGTCTCTGTGGGGATGTGTTTGTTAGGGCGGGTATCAAGAAAATGACGGCATGCATCAATTCCTTGATTGTGTGGAATGTTGGTGTAGAGCGATGACACATCAAGAGTTACAAGAATAGCGTTGTTAGGTAGGTTACCGAGGTTAGAAAGTTTATTAAGGAAGTCAGTAGTGTCTTTAATGTGTGAATCCAAGGTAGAGACGAGAGGGTTAATGTAGTAGTCAACAAATTGTGAGATGCGTTCAGTAGGGTGGCTGTTAGATGAAACTATGGGGCGTCCAGGATTTCCAGTTTTATGTATTTTAGGTAGTATGTAAAAACGTCCTGGTTTCACGTGTGTTTGTACTACGTACTTTTTAGTCTTTTCGTCAATGTAACCGTCGTTAAACATACGTTCAATGTAGACCGTAACACGCTGTTGAATAGTATCAGTAATGTCCCCGTCTAGTTGTCTGTAGAATTTAGCGTCATTTAACTGTCGGTTGCATTCGTCTATGTACCACGATTTGTCCATAACAACCGTTCCCGAGCCTTTGTCAGCTGGTTTGATTATTATGTCTTGTCGCTTCTTGAGGTTGCGTAATGCTTGTCGTTCCTCTTTTGTCAAGTTGTCGGTGATGTGATTACGATTAACTGTAAGGATGTCATGTTTAATGGCGTCTACGTACGTGTTAAGTGCAGGGTCTCGATCAGTAGGAGGCGTCCATGAGCTTTTGTTGTGAAATGGGTTGTGCTCGTTAGGTTGAGTGCTGTTATTGTGATCATGAAAATATTCTTTTAAACGCATGCGTCGCGTGAAGTCGTTAATATCAGCAGATAATTCTGCCAAATTAATACGTTTAGGTGTGGGGCAAAAGGTTAAGCCGCGAGCGAGAACCAATAATTCGTCATTAGAAAGAGGGGTTTGGGACAAATTAATAACAGAGGTGGTGTCGAGATTAGTGGTTTTATGGGTTTTACGAGGTTTGCGTTTACGGCGATTACGTGTCTTGCCAGCTTGCCTAG